GGGGCTTCACGTCCAGAATTTACATACCCGAAACAAACATCATCCATATGAGTAAAACAGCGTAACACAACAGCCCAGGATACTCTGAGCAAAGTGGATAGCGTGATGTCTTGTTCCCTGCACCAATCTTGCAGTTTTGACAAGTCGCCAAGTCGGATGTTAACTCTCTCAAGCTTGTTAGTCTCCTCTTCTGAGGGTATAGAAGTTCCATCCGTAATAACTGGGAATAGGCAGGGCTCAGAGGTCTTCAAGTAATTCATCCAATAGCTGCGAGTGTCTTGCTGTGACATTCCCCGAATGTAGGTAACAAACTCGCTGTAACGGGGGACTTGAGATGCGGGGAGCTTCCCAAGATACGCAAGCTGAAAATCTTCAAGCAAGGTCGAAATAGACATTCCATCAATGATAGCATGATTGAACCCAAGATCAGCAAGTACTTGGCCGTTAGAGTTTTCACATATTGTGAGCAGATGCAGAGGTTTTCCAAGCTCACTGAAAGTTCCCCGTTCCTTGTGGAGCATCTCAACTGCATTGTTATCTATAGCACATGGCAGTATTTTAACTTGAGCTGGCATGAATTTCAATACCAATTGGTCGTACATAGCGGTGGACATGCTGCTCTTCACGAATACCGTCCTGAGTGAGGAATGTCGATCAGTAACTTGTTGCCATGCGTCCCGAATTTGGTCCATATTGATTGGGCCATTGAGCGATATCAATTCTATCATGGTGCGTGTCTGATAATGTGAGCTATTTCGGAGCTGGCTAAGCAATATACCTTCTTGCATGGGCAGACAGGGGTATATCTCATCTATGTCGGTCAGTGACAGCCCTGACTGAGGGAGGACTTCCGTGGTCAACTGAGCTAAGCCTGGGTAAGTTAAAGGTAAGAGTGGGAAGTCACTCAATGTTGGCGATTCCTCATGTGTCATCAAGCCTTCTACCGCCGCCTGGAGGGAGCTAGCACAGTTGCGAATCCATTGCCCAATGGCATCTTGGTGTTGCATTTCTCGGCTATACATAAACTCGAACTGGAGGCTTCCATGAATGATAACAGCTGTGATTTCGAAAAGACCAGGGAGTACGACTTTAGGTCCGTTGTCGCAGGATGCCTCATACTTCCAGGGGACTTGCTGGAGTAGACCATCCTTACGTTCCAGCTGTTGGTAAAGCCCATGGAAATTGAAAACAACTTCGAAGGGCGTATATCCGTTAAAAGCTACCCTTCCTTCGTCATTTAGATATCTAGAAGCAAAGTAAGGCCAGCCTCTACCGGGAACCTTTCGTCTTCCGTCTTTGACGCGACGGACTAAGTCGACAACATTGTTTCTATCATCCACTAAGACTTCTGTGGGCCAGATAGTTGTAAACCAACCTACAGTTCTAGAGATGTCGATTGAACTGTCCCATGGTTCTCGTCCGTGGCCTTCGTTAAAGATCAGTGGTGGCTCCCTATCTGGAAAACATTTCATAAACGAATGGAGGAGTGAAGCATGCAGAATCTCGACCGGCTGGGTATCAAATGCTAGATTAGCATCCTTAAGCAACCTAGATGTTATGCCTTCATCAACTTTCAGATGCGCGTGGATCACATTTCCATAAATGTTTTTTCGGCCTTTCATGCCCCAGTAATCTGTTTCTATGGGGGTAGGTCTAAAATGTAGGGCCTTTTGTGGTGGCAAATGTTTCTGAGCGTACTCAGACTGCAGTCGGTACCAGGCTTGAAACGGTATGGGGACTTCTTGTGAAATGGTACCGGTTTCCAGAACTTCCTCTAGCTCCGCAAGTAAGATTCTCCAGGATACCAGGTCAATAACCAGGTGATGGGCCACGAGGAATATGTACTGAGTCTTGTCATTTGCAATTTCAATGAAGTCGACTGAGAAGAGAGGCCCAGTTTGAGGATTTAACCTTGTTTGACTATCTACCATCACAGCTGTCACCTCCTCTCTACGTGACAATTGGTGACTTCTCAAGCGGTAGGAGCCGAGTACATCCTGGGAAATGCTTTGTGTCCACTTGCCTTCCAGAGAACGGTGGAAACGGGCCCGAAGCATTGAATGTCGAGTGATGAGAAGTTCTAAGGCATTCATCAATTGAACCTCTCCAACAGGTCGGGCAAATGCGAGGAAAAAGCTTTGGTTGAAGTCGTTGTGTCCTTCAGGGCAATCTTCGAAATACATGTCTTGGATTGGGGATAAACCGAATGGTACTCCGATATGGTCCTCTTGTTGCTGGCGTGAAAGGGAGGCGGTAGCTCCAAATGTAGCACCTTTTGCAATCTTCATTATTGTCTTCAAGCGGAAGATCTCGCCGAGTGCTAAGACAATCCCTTGTTTGCGACATTGAGTGATGACCTGCATGGCCGTGATGGAATCTCCGCCACTGCGGAAAAAGTCATCATCGATGCTGAGCATTTCGGGAGCAAGGTTGAGCACTTCAGCAAAAACCGAATGAAGGCATTTTTCCATATCATTTGATGGTAGGACTCGTGCCTTGTTGATATTCATGGAGTAAGAATCCAAATTGGCTCGGGGTAGAGCAGCGGCCTGGGATCTTAGGAGTTTCCTATCCGTTTTCCCAGTAGTGGAAAGGGGGACACGGGCAAGTGGGATGAAGACGGTTGGGATCATGTAGTTAGGGAGGCTATTAGCCATCTTCTCTCTGGCATCAGTACTGCGGTTGCGGAAAGAATCGTCCGGTTCGGCAAAAATAGCCCCATCTCTTGGGTCACTGTCGTTGGCCCCAGCATATTTACCCGGGCAGTAGACGAATGCAATGAGCATGGGGACTCCACCTTCATATTGGGGTTTAACCATTTCTGTAACGACGTCTCTGGCCTCGGTGAAGCATTCTCGAGCATAATGCTCAACTTCCGCTAACTCAATACGCTGTCCGCGCAATTTCACCTGGGTGTCTTTTCGGCCAATATACCTCAGAGAGCCATCTGGCTGGTATTGTACCAAGTCACCGGTTTTGTAAAGCGCCTGGTGGTCCTTACGGAACTCCGGTAGCCATTCCGTACTTTGGATAAAGACCTTGCGGGTATTTTCTGGGTTGTCTATGTAACCTCGCCCAACGTGGGATCCCTCGATCAAAAGCTCTCCAATGGCGCCTATCGGCATCAGACGGTTGTGGTCTGATGGACTAACTACCCAGGAGGCTCCAGTGATTGCATGGCCGATGTTCACTGGATCAGCTGCAACAGCAGTTTGAACCGTAGACTGGATTGAACATTCGGCCGGCCCATATACGTTAAGCAGGCGTACCTCGCTATCCCATTTGTTGATGACATCTTGAGTCATAGCCTCTCCACTTAGAACGATTGTCCTGACAGTGTAAAGGTCTGAGGGTGAAAGGGATCTCAAGAAAGATGGTGTGAGGTCCATCCAATTCGGCCTCAGCCGGTCAACCAACTCTAGCAAACTATTGTTACGTTCAGCATCAGAAGGGATACAAAGCGTAGCCCCAGACAGTAAACTGTACAAGATATCAGAAACGCTAACATCGAATGCATAAGATGCAAATTGCAAGACCCTGGAAGTCCGGTTTAAATCCACAGTTTTAATATATGCAAGGGCGCTAGAAAGAAAAGAGCCATGTTCAATGACAATTCCCTTTGGATTTCCGGTGGAGCCAGAAGTGAAAATTGCATAAAGAGGATTTGAAGACTGAACCGAAGATCCATCGTAGTTCAAAGGGTTATGTGTTCCAACCGTTTTTTCGCTGGCAATAAACATGGGAGTTTCCAAAGTACTAGCAAGCACGGCATGTTGAGGTGAAGTAATAACAACAGCTGCTTTGACCTGGCGACAGATATCCTCAAGGCGTTTGAGTGGCAAAGAAGGATCTAGCAGTACAAATGCAGCACCGGCTTTGATCACTGCAAGCAGAGACACCACAGTCCATTTAGATTTTTCGAATAGCAACGGGACGAATTTCTCGGGACCAACGTTAGGATGTGAAGCTATCAGTCGTACCGCTAGAGCAGACGAAAGCTCATCGAGCTCTCCGTATGACATGTTTCCGTCCCAGGATTGGATGGCAGTATAACTCGGGTCCTCGGCACAACGCTGGCTAATCATGTCATGGACGCACTTGTCAGATCCTTCATTTGATATTTCACCATTCCAGGTGGCCAGTGTAGTAATATCCCAGGAATTGCATAGGTCCAGGTCTCCCAACTTTCCGGTAGGTTTGCGAAGCATCTCAGCTACAACCTGTTCGAAAGTCCTCGACATGTTTGCTATATGCTTCCCCAATGATTCATTGAGGTGCATTTCCAATTCCACTTGCTCCCTGAGTCCATTGTTGATTGTGTCAACGGTGATAGTATGCTATCAATTAAAATATATATGTTAGAAACTCTCCTTTACTAACTATACGTCCCGTATACTAGTCACTTACTGAAATAGGAATTTTACATCCTCTTATATTAAAGACAGGGCAGCTATTAATTGGGAGCGCTGATGTTGAGGGAGTTTGTATCACAAAAGCATCAACCATTGTAATATCGGGTGAAGTGCCATTACTATCACCAGAATCACAGCCTGAGCAGTGCTTAAGCTGTTCAACTGCTCGAAGAAGAGGCATATCGTCGTCTAATCCCACCTCATATTTGCCACTAGAACATGTCCCGTCGTCCTGCCATAGTATATTTCCGACGGTCACTGATTCCGAAGCGGTGTAGTAACGGAGCGTAATAGCCCATGCTGCGAGGAGGATTTGGAGGGAAGTAATTCCGGATTTGGCACAGAAGTCCTCTAGATCTGCGGATAGCTCGAGGCAAAATTGCGCAAGTTCTTCCTTAACTTGAACAATCGGGCCCTTCGAAGGGAGGTGATTTTCGAATTGATCAACCGAGAGGGGGATCCCCCTTTGTGTTGAGAGAAAGGGTGCCATTGTGTATCTCTGTGTCCGGCTGAAATGGCTGTCCTATTTGATACCAACAGAAGTTTTTTCTTCCTTCGATTGGAGTATTAGGCCGTTGGTAGTCAAAAGAATCGGATAAGCAGCGGCATTTCCATGCCTTAAGGAGGAGGGGTGAAGCTGGGAATCTATTCATCTTGTAATCCACAGGACTCCGAGATAGACGAAGCCCAAATTTGGATCTCAGCTGCAAGCTCAAAGCTCATAACTGGATGGAGTAATTAGTGGGCCAATTGCAACAAGAAACGTTCCTAATATTGAGTGCGTGGATGAGCCGTATTCCAGGAATATCCTTGGGATGCATAAGTTACCGCCTGCGCCACGCTCCAGGTCTGGACATGTAGGACGCACTGCAGCTAAAACAATGCCTCTGTAAAAAGAACAAACGCTGCAAGGTAAGGAAACACGAAATCGTAATAACAAGCCATTGGCTTAGAATACATCATCGCAATACCCTGGAGATCGGTCCGGTTAATGGACCTTTGCTTTGGAAAAAATACTGCCATGATGGCTGATTGGCTATTTGCTACGCAAGCTTTAGCTAGTCAAGCCAAGGTTCGAATCCATCCGCCCAGAGGGTGTCCTAGAATTTTCCTCTTGTGACCGTATCGGATAGGCCCAGAGGGTAAACGATGGAAGTGAAAGGCAGAAATGAAAATAAACGGATGAATAATGAAAATAAACACGATTCAGAAATCAAGACATCACCAGCATTGTTCAGTCGAGCGAACAGGTAAGGAGGCCGGCATGGTTGTTCCTAGTTTAGGAAGACAGGATTTTATATCTGGCCAGCTAGTCAACTAGTGAAAAAAACTCGCAACTTCTTTGTTTCGATCGGGTTATTTCAGGATACAAGTAGATGGTACCTCGAAATGACCCGCACAACAATGTGGCTACTAAGTTGCAGAGACTCTGAAGAAACATGCATTCGAGTCCGCATCAACCTTCTCATTTTCTCCACAGCACATGCATTGAAGATCGAAATTGACAGCTGTGGCACGGATATCTGGACTTCGATGCACCACTAAGGCCCTTCTCAAAACGAGGACCCGAGAAGTTCCTCCATGCAGATGACTTCCATTGAGAGCGATTGGTCAAGTCAAGGAACCCATGTCAGCTCCCGTCAGTATGTCCACCTCCTCAAAATTTTGACTCGTTCCATGCAGTAATAGCTATTGACTTGCTCGGTAAACCCCCTGGGCCACAATCAATCCGATCAACAAGTCAATGCACACATTGAGCCCGATGACGGCCCATGCAAGGTTCTTGAGCGGGTGGCTTGATATGGATTTCGATGGTACCAGTCAGTCAACCTGTAAGATGTCGACAGCGCCCATGCAAGTTTTGCTTCATGATGGAACATGCAGCCTCAGCCTGTCATTATTCGTCGAACCGGGCTGAATATCTCCGAGGCTTGAACTCAAAAAAGAAATGAAGGTGGAAGATTGAAAGCTCGTTCAAAAACCAATATTTGGTGAAGAAGCTGAAGACGTCGAAGATGTGAGGTCAAAATTGACTAGTTACGGGATGTATCCACGCGTTTCACGTGACCGGCCCAGTTCTTCCGCGACAACCTCGTCTTTTCGTCTCCTTTTTTTATGCCTCTGAACAAGCAAAAGGGATATGAGGAATGAAAGGATCAGGGAGAAGAAGAACCAGGCAAGACGCAATCCTTTGCCGATAAGCTCCAATGGGTGCGAGAGCCGGGGCACAACACGAAAGCTGATCACTTCGTCCTTTTCCCCGTCTCGTTTCTGTTCAGCAAGCCAACCAGGAAAGCCCCCGAGGTCCAGCCGCCAAATGCTTGGGCTCCAGCATATGCGCCAATGTGGGCTGGGAAACAACTTTGAATAGTTCAGCCATGGTTTGCAGCGTCGGAAAGACAGGGTATATGACTAAGAGCGTGTTTCTGACGCAGCGCACTGAATGTGCATTAGAAGCCAGCGGAATTGCTTTTGTCCTGAGAAAAAGTAAGACAAAAAAGGGCGACTGGGTTGAGAATAAAACTAGGCAAGGGCGAACCCGTCGTGCCCGGCAGGCTGGCGCAGAGATGAAAAAGAAATATAACACTACGTACGAGTGGTTTACAGAGTTACGAAGCTTTGATGAATCAGAAGTAGTGAAGTGAATTACCTGCAGAAATTTCATCGAAGGGAAAAAAGAAAAAGAATAAGAGAAAAGGGAAGCGAGAACAACCTGCCTGATATCCGGCATCAATTCCCGGCCATCTTAACGCCAAAATTGCACATTCGCATTACATGAAAAGACGGCAAAACCAAAGGACGTGGAGAGTCGAGTAGGTGGCTAGCATTCGAATACGCTAACAGGAAGAAAGGAAAAGGGTTTAACTTGAGGGGAGGGGCTCTTGGTTCCAGCACCAAACGAGGGGGGCGGGAAAAGCCGGTATGGTATGTATATTGCAGCGGTGATGGTGTAGTAAAGATGCAGAGCCAGCGATGGATGTGTGAGTTGTCGTGAAACCTGGAAACATAACCAGCCTGACATGGGATTTGTGGCGATGGTTATATAGCATCAAGGCTGGATCGAAATTATTCTCATGCTCCTGGTACCGAAGATTTATCAACTTGTGGTGCAGCATGGTCAAGGACAGAAGCCCTGCTAGCGTCCTCAGTCAAGTTGGCATTTGCAGCATCGTAATTAGGCAATTCGATGTTCCTAACACCATCCTGGGCCTCTTTCGCAGTGCTGTTGTCATTCTCCACGGGATCTTTGTTCTGTATGTCTGTTGACATATCGCCACACAGGATGGCGGATGTCTCCTCCCCGGCTGAATCACCCCTGGACGTTGTATCTGCGATTGAGGTTGCAGCACTTGTATCCGTATAGCTAATATCGCCTTCACCAGCGTCATTATCATCGTCGTCATCTTCCACATCATCCTCATCTTCATTACCGCTCAGGTTAGGGCTTTCCATGACAGGACAAGAGGGGCTCTTTAGAGGTGATTCGGCGTCGGTGGCAGTGGAATCTCTTCTGATTCCGGCTACATCATCACCACCGCCATCATCATCATTACCAGCATAACCAGAGGAGTGCTTTGGCACAGATGACTGGAGATCATGGCCATTCTCATCGGTGTCTCCATTGGTGGAGGAAGCTATGATGGTGTTGGCTACCGTTGAAGGGGCGCCTGCATCTTCCCCTTCTCCAGGAAGCTTAGAAGTGCTGCTGTTCCCGCTGGGAGAACTATCAATGCCCAAGCCCCCTCGGGCCTCACTCATCTTCAGGTATTGACTGTAGCTTTTTCTGGCGGGATCAGCAGCCAGTCGTTTTTGTTTCTTCTTTTCCCGCTTACTCGATGGCCTAACAACAATGACGGGAATAGGAGATTGCTGGAGACAGTATTTCGAGACAGAGCCTGGTAGTAGACCCTGCATTCCCTTAAGGCTACGGCCTCGGGTGCCGACAATAAGGACAGCAGGCTCGTATATCTGAATCTAAATCGATAAGGTTAGTATTACATGCTTTTCCTGCCGTAAGTGGACACTAACATACCATCCGTTGGATGATCTCCTGAACTTTACCAACTGCTAGTTCCATGACCAAACTTATGGCCTTCTCATCCTGTTTATTCTTTGCAATGACTTGTGAAAGTAACTTCTCTGCCTCTTGTCTATATCGGCCTTCTTCAACGCCGGAATCACTTGCAATCTTGGAATCCTTGTCCACGACCCGTAGACAAACAACCTCGTCTCCATCGTCTACCAGCTCGTCTATAAGCCACTCCAGAGCAAAATCGGAATAATCATTCTGGTCGGTTCCACAAAGAAAGGTCCGGCTGCGGCGCGTGTTCCTGTAATCTTTGTGTTTGTAGTTCAACGTCAACGAGAATTCGGTAGCATCTCGATTGTCGAAGGTATCAAAGGAGACTCCACGGTTATAGGAGCTGGGAAGATAGTTAATTATTAGTACAAAGCACTCGTCAGGCGAGTGACTGGCCGGAGAAATGCATTCACAACTCAAGGTTTGCCAAAAAGGAAAGATAAAGGAGGTATATGTATATATTTATATCTCAAGCAGGTAAGATATGGGCGGACAAGGGATATCGACCTCAGTTCGATACAGGCGGGCGAATCCACATCTCAAACGCTGGACTTTGAAGCTCCCTACATAAGCAAGCAAACAATGTGTGCATCACTAGCAGGCCATGCGGAGGCTGTGATCCGCCTCGCAAACAGGGGGCCATACGCATGTCATTCCACTTGCCTGGAGCACCCCCCAGTAACTTTGGCACGTTTTGGGTAAAATAAAATGGAAAGCAGAACAGACACAAGCGCGAAAAGCCATCCTTAGCCCAGGAAAACGCTAACGTACCTTGGAGGTGGTGGAGATGGTAGTCTCCTCAAGCTGCTCTTCCTTGAGCTGGCTGTTGATCGTTCCCGCAGCGCCGCATCCGTCCGCGAGGTGTTGAACTGGATAGATCGGGAACGCAGACGGTTCTCCAGCGCCGAATAACAAGCCCCATCCGTCTGGTGGTTTCCTAGGCCGTCATGGTGTATTCCAGAGGCAGCATCTGAGGCCAAAACAGATGTACTGGTTGCCGGCGACGACTGCAAAGAGTGCGATGAAAGCATCCCAGACCAGCCACAACTTGGAGTAAACCCGTAAGATACCAAGGCAGTCTAAGGTGGAAATTTCACCCCGCACAAGCAGAGAGCAGCGTCTTTCGTCTTGTCTTCGTCTTCGTCTGTCTTCTTCAAGTAGTGGAATGTTATGAGTCGGAAGCGGTTTGTCATGAGATAGCGTGCTACCGATAAGAGATCTCTAGCTGCCAAGTTTATGATATCAGTCAGCGGGCAAATCCGTGGGTCCGCAGGGTTGTTTTCACTCTACCTCTTTGCAGCACAGCTGTTCTCGTCAACTCCTATCTCGTCACTGAGGAGCAGTAATATAGCCCAGAATATAAACCTTCACTCTGTCACGCTGACTGACCGCCATTAAGAGAGACAACTAACTAACTTGCGAGTCTTTAACTAGTTTGTTGGTCTCGCCAGCGATCGCGAGAGTTGGAAGTTCGTGAGGAAGGCCGAGGTGGGTCTTACTAAGCACTTTAATTCACGTGATATCTATTTTTTGACCTCATTGATTCATTTGGGAGCAACACCAGGCAAGAAAAGGGCGGCGATACCAAGCAGCAGAAGTACACGACAAGGCGTCTGAGCAGAGAGGCAGTGCCCTGGGGCTGTCGACTACTCACTATACGTTTTTTTATCCAGTGATACCCGTGTTTAACCAGCGAGAAATTCGCCCGCAAGAACCCGGCAGATGGACCCCCAGATGGCCGGCAATAACACAGCTCCCAGCCAGGTGAATGCACCGCTTCCTTCAAGCATGACAGCAGACAGTAGTATAATCAAGTCGGAGCCGGTGGAAGACCTGCAGATGGCAGACTCCAGTAACTCAGTAAACTGGAATGATGAACGGCAACTAGTGAATGCGCTATGTACCCTACAGCAGATGCACAGCAGAGTAAGTGGACAAACTACCAGCCCTGTTCATGCAGGCTTTACCCATTGTGATGTCTAGATGAGGTCTTTGCTTTTCTTGTATGTACCCATACTGACAATGCATAGATTAATCAACTGCGCGACCTTCTTCCGGGGCGTCTACTCGGCCCTCTGAAGCCCGTGATCAACCAGCCTCCAGGGTGTGAAAAGTATCAAAAGTCCCCCCAGGAACTATGCCAGGAACTATCGCAATCAGTTCCAAACTGCATATCTGAGATTGAGGGCTTCAAGGCTTCCTGGAACTCAGCTGAGATGACAGAGATATTGAGTCGGGTGGATGTAAAGCTCAAAGATCGGAACGGCCAGTACCCCTACATGAACACCATGTGGGAGTGTGATTATGAAGAAGTTCTTGCATCTCTTGACCGAGAAGAAAAGGAGATGGAGGAGATGAAATCCAGGCAGCAAGATGCCCTTGAAAGGAAGAAGCTGGAATCCACGGCCGGGGTCTGGAAAGAAATAATCGAATCGTTCAAAGCCAAAAATATCCCCGGTATCAGTCTGCAAACCGTAGCATCTGGTGACGACAAGATGTTTTCCATGGATATACAGAGCATATCAATTACTTTCCACGTTCATATGTCTCATGGTGTCCCCGGAGACGATTCCGGAATGTGGCATGTCAGGACTGGCCACCAGCAGAGTCAGTCAAAGCTGGCATCCGACATCCTGGGTTGCATTCAGTCACGGCAGCGGCAGTGGGACCTTCAATATCTTCTGGTAGGTTTATTGATATCTATCATCTCTTGCATACATCTCGTTTAACCCATTATACTAGGACATGCTTTCTTCATACACCGACATAAAAAGATCCCCCTGTGTTTCATGCAAAAAAATGATCAGCTCCAGCGCCCAGCTTCCTATCGTCAGAAAACCAAAGACAGTAACCACGCCCAACGGCGACTCCAAGGCGGCCTGGGAGCCGTTCCATCCCCAATGCGTCTGATCCCTCACTAAGCAGAACACCAAGCCTCTAATGTGCGATTCCAGCTCCCTCTCCATAATGGAGCTGCCAATGGGGGTATGAATATTTTATACCATTCGCATCCCAGACTGTAATCGGTGTATTCACACTGTTTGTTTCGCCGGGATCTGGATATTCCACGAAACTCCAAGACTTTTCATCTACATTCCGATATTTCCGCGTTCGAAAGTCATATCTCTGCAGCTTTCGGTCAGAAAATGGCAGGACAGGTGGTAACATATTCTCGTCTCCACCTCCCGCATAGCCGTATATATCGTACCATCTCGACCATCGAGGTGTATGTGGAGTGGGATCGCGTCTGTCGATTCGTCCGATGAACATATCCGGACCTTTATTGGTGAGGACATCCATCAACCTTCTCCCCATTGGCCATTTGAGGGGGTTGCCTGGTTGAGGGTCCTTAGGCCAGATCCACCCAATCTGGTGTCGTGGACGATAGGACAACATGATTTCAGGGTATCTTTCGCGATGATCCGGCTCAACTTTTGGTAGGTATTGGGTCAGGCAGAGAATGATACTCAAGCCAGATGGCCTTTAGTTTTAGCTATATTCAGACAAATTTAGTTTATGCCTCCTCTTTCCCATCTACTACAGTTCAAATCACGGCTTATATACTTATTAAAGATCCAAACAAGACCTCTCTCTGATACCCCTTGGATTACAACATGCATACATACCCGCATCTCACTGCCCGTACAATAAAACAAAGGACTGCAATTTTGTTTAGCATATGACTATTCGGTACTACCCTTGCGTCTATCTATGTATGTATATTCATCTAGCCAACCAGGCATATCTAAATCAAATTCCTCTAATTAAGCCAAAAGCAAGCATCCAAACATTCTTTATGTAGCTAATTTTCACTTTGTTTTATTTTGATTTTGAATCTTTGATTGATATTTATTTGGTCATGGGTATATAGTTTGATGGTTATTCGGCATCGCAACTTGGCGTCTACAGTGATTGCATCTACAGAACAAACAATGATGAATGGATGGCTGGCTGCTAGGCCAGCGGCGAGATAGCAAAAAGGTCACTAACTGACTTAGCCGGGCGAAATACAAATATCACTACCAACAGAGTGGCATCGATTGATATCCACAGCCTTTGATCGCCAAACTTGCCCCTCTGTAATGCATGGTAGATGCAAGTTTGTTTGTCATACTGAGCTTAGGTTTAGGTACATGCTTACGGACCGGGCAATGCAAGGCTGCAGGTGCATAGCCATAACCTGCCAAACAAAAAGCTACCTGTTTGCCCCTGGAGCCTATTCACGGTAACTATGTATCTGGTCAACGCTAACAAGACCGAAATGATTATTAGTATTGCTGTGCAAGAACATCACTCCTTTTCTGTATGAATAACGTCCTTATTTCAACCAAAACCCGAAGCACGTAAAACTCCACACCAAAGATACAGACGGACATAGGTTTATATACAGCCTTGACCAGACCAGCCAAGCCTCATCAAGTGAACTATTATTGAAGGGGAGAAGGGGGGAAGGGGAATATTACATCTTAGGTGTAGTTAGATCCGTAGCTGAAACAAAGCGTCAAGAATGGGAGAAAAATAGGCAAATAGAAGAAAACGTCGCTGGCAGTGTCAATCTCAATCAAACAAATGGGCATCAGTGAATAAGGGCTCAAAAGGTTAGTTAAAATGTTATGAATATTTTTTATAGTTCGGAACTAAAGGTCGTGTCAATGGATGAAGGCTGGAATCGTATGGATTTAGGCAATAGACCCAGTCCGCTGCAAACCAGGTGAATGAAGCAATGTGATTCCAGCCATTCCCATCATAAACCACATCGCTTGATGATCGACGGTTGAGATGGCAGCACTGCCCAAGGCTCGCTCTATAAGAAATGACGTTAGTATTTGTGCAGCGATCAATGGGCAAGCAGGGTTGGCTATACGTACTTTTCTTAGAATTAGGGTCGTCATGGGGTTCGTAAACTCCAAAGATGTAAGGCCTGGAGACTCCAAGTTCACCGGCCGGAGCAGGATCGGTGGGGCCACGCTTGACATCGTGTACAATCAGAGTGTAATGTTCAATCAAAAGGCGGATACCGGCAGTTTTGTAAGGGTTGGTATCCCAGACAGCGGATCCGGTTGCCTGAACCGACTGGTTGGAAGCAATGGTGTAGTAATGGTCGTTCTTCGAGCAGTATGCAACAACGTCAACAGCAGATGGAGTAATTTCGAGAGAGGTGTAGTTCCACGCGAACGTAGCCTTGTCTCCGATCTTGACGTAGGTCGAGGGGTCAAAGGGACCGGGAGTGACCATGACAATACCACCTGGCGGGAGACGGGGGTCAACAGTGGTTTTGGGCTTTTTGGTCGTTTTGGTTCCCTTGTTACTCGTCTTTGGGTTTCCATCCTTGTCCGTTGGGGTAGGTTTTTCGCTGGTGTTTTCGTCCTTGTTGCTCTGACTGTTGCTCTGTTTGTCTGTCCCCGTAGGTTCACTGTTATTATCGCCCGTCTGACTTGGCTTGTCTGTCTGGTTCGAGTCACCAGTGGCGGCTATTCAAATCAAGGTTAGCAGGTTGGATTCTTAGACAGTTGTAGGTGACGTTGCCAGCTCACACTGTGACTCTGCTCTTATGGCAATTCCTGTGAACTGTGCAGGAGAGTATGATGAAACGAGCGACACTAATATCACTAGCGAGAGAAGAACGAAAGTGAATTTAATCGACCTCATTTTGAAGAAATTATCGTCCACCGGATGGACTCTCGGTCGATGTAATTAATGGAGGCTGGTGCAGCTGCCGTGTGCCTTGGTTTGGCAGCCTCTATTGACCTTGGTAGAGGCCGTTCGACGATGAGGGACTTCGAAAACGAAGGTAAGATATCTCGACTCTGATATCTCCTTTATCCGTGAGGCTAATCGAGTTCCGTGAGTCTTTGAATCGTGTTAACTCGGTGCTGGGTGATCAAGGAGGCGCAGTGAAAAGCGAGTAGCGAAGGTGGTGGTGATTCCAAATGACTAGTTATTAGTTGTGGATGCCAGACGCTTGAACATAAAGCAACAGCGGACAACGGGAACGAGCGGGAAAAAAAGAACGTGAAGAGCTGAGAAGAAAGAAGACAAGCAGAAGCAGGCCTGTCAAAGATGCAGAGAAGCGAGAGTCGAAGATATTGTTGTTGGCTGCCAGAGAGGAAGAAGAAAAGAAAGTGAGACAGAGTCTTGAAGTAAAAAAAAGCTTTGGATCGTAGATCGGTGACAATACGATACGCGGCTCGGGCGTCAATAGTCTGCCCAAAGGGGCAAAAATTGGTGTGCATCACGTGAATATATTACAATACGGTTACCCCTGATACTCAAGTTTCATAATCAACTCTCACTTTATATATAGAAAAAAAACATGGAGAAAGATGAAGCTGAAGAAGATGAAGGAGTTGGTAGACAACGAACAAGGGTTCTGTTATTATTGACTGTTGGCTACTACAGGCTGGAGTCACTTCCTAGCATACTCAGGCTTCAGTACCCATTTGCCTCTTGCTCGCGTCCCTGTCCCTGACTTGTCAAGCACGGCTATCGTACGAAGAATCTCCTTGAACTCGGCCGTGGCTCGCGGAGAGTCGCAAAATCGGTTGAAATGGTCAACCAGCATCTGCGTGTATACTGCTCCCCCATGCGTGATGATATAGTCCCGTATCATCGCCAGGAATTCTCTCCCCGTCGGTGTACTTGTTCGTGGCGTGCCTGTTCTTGAAGCAGCGGTCGAAGCAGAGGCTGAGGCGGAAGGAGACCCAGATGCGGATTGAGTGCCTGCTCTACCGCCTGCTGCATTTCGGCTGGCGAGGTTGGCAAGTAGGCTGGCAGACGACGGCCCACCCATAGCCCGACGGGCAGTACTACCACCGCCAGAATAGATAGAAGATGTACCAGACGGCGCGACGTCGAGGCCCGGACGACCTGCGGTGCCAAACTGGCCGGTCCAGGTAGGTGTGCCGGCTGGTACGGTGCGAGCAACCTCTTCTGCTTTGAGAAGCTCCCTGGCTGCCTCTGCTGCGACTCGCTTGGCCTCAGTCTCAATGATTTTCGGGTCTGCTTTGACTGTTCGTTTGCCGTGGATTATCTGGTCGTGTTCGAGGGCAGTGAGAACTCCGGAACGAGAGAAGATGTTCTCCATTAGACGAGCGTCTGTCTTGCCCTTGGAGTCTCCCTCCCCTTCCTTTTCCTCTTGAGGGGTTCCGGGGCCGCTGGCTTCGTCGTGATACTCCTCCATCCCAGCGACACCAGTCACCCGGCTGATTTTCTGATCTTCTTCCTTCACGGGCTTATTCTCAGGTTGCCTGCGTCGTTGCTGGCGCCCAGCAGGCCCAACATTTTTACCCTTTGCTGCATCATCTTCATACACCACGTCCGCGTCCTTGAACATCTGGCTGGTCTCCGTGGGCCCATCGTTACCCAGAGTGAACAAATCCTGTATATCACTCATCTGGAAAGTCTGACGCTGTTTCGGATCCCGCAGGATTTTGTTCGTCAGGAACTGCTTGAAGATTTGTCTGTGGTATATTTTTTCCTCGATAGTACCTGCAGTCATGAGCCGGTAGATGGTTACCTCACGTTTCTGGCCTAGTCTCCATGCTCGTTCGCGAGCCTGCATGTCTGTAGAAGGGTTCCAGTCTGGGTCGTAGATGATCACCCTATCTGCACCTGTCAAGTTCACCCCCAGCCCGCCTACTTTCGTAGTAAGGAGGAATACATGTAGATCCGGGTCATTGTTAAACTCATCCACCATACTTTGCCGAGCTTTGATAGGTGTATTCCCGTCCATACGCCTGTAGTTAAACCCATCGAACCCTCTGATGAAGCGTTCCAATATGTCGAGCATGATTCGATGTTGGGCGAATAAAAGAGTTTTATGTCCCGTTTCCTTCCACAACTCTAGGAGGGATTTGACTACTTGCATCTTCCCTGACTTTGCGCCGCTACCATAGTTGTAGTCTGTCTTTTGTGACAGGATTTTATGCTGCGTCAGGTCTGGATGGTTGCATATCTTCCTTAACATGTCGATGCCGTATAGCGCTTCTCGCCGCCCACGCAGTATGGACGACATCTCGCCTGAGGCTAAAAAGGCCTCATATGCTGCTCTCTGCACCTTAGTCAACTTACAGAAGAGAACCTGCTCGCTTTTCTTGGGCAAGTCGGCGGCAACGTCCATTTTGAATCGTTGCAGTAAGTATGGGCTTATGGCATCCTTGAGCGTCTCGGCACATTTTGCTGCCGTTTGAACCTGCAGGTTAGAGGCATTTGCATAACCTCCTGTTCTAATGGGGAGCTCGAACTGGTTTCGGAAATTGACCAGAGTGCCTAGACGCATGGGGAAGACAAAGTCGAATAATGACCATAGCTCGGTCAGATTGTTCTGCATCGGTGTGCCAGAAAGGATCAGACGATGAGAGGTGCGTAGTTCCTTGCAGTGGATGGTAATTGAAGTGTCAGGGTTACGTATTTTGTGGCCTTCATCCAGCACAGCGATGCCCCAGTCTACGGGTATAAGAAGGGAGGAGTACGTCTGCAGCCCGGCGTAGGTAGTGACTAACACATGGCCGTCTTCCAAAACTCTTTTCAAGATGCGACGAGCCGCCTTATTGCCTCTTTGCGAAGTAGCGTTCCGATCTCCCCAAACGCCAGAGGTATACCTATCTTCAGCCTGGCTTTCACTTTTGATATTGACCATCCCGCTCCCAGAGGTATGTAATATCGAAACACGGAAAGGTGGCCACCAGCGATGAAACTCATTAACCCATTGCTTCATGACGGTTGGTGGACAGACGACAATTATGGGGCCTTTGAGCTTCTTGCTATAATGAATACCAGCCAGGAAAGCAATAACTTGTATTGTCTTGCCGAGGCCCATCTCATCACCGATAATTCCACCAACCTGTTGCTGGTACAGCTCCCATAGCCATTTGACGCCTGTCTTTTGGTAATCAAAGAGATATGGGTGTATGTCTCCTGGGAGTTGATAGCCACCATCCAGCACTGTGTCAGGGGTAGTTGGATGCGGTAAATGCCATTCTTCTTCCTGCTGTTGAACTGGGATCTGTTCCTCTTCTGGCTTAACGTTATCCTCTCCTGAAAGGCGAAGGGCCTCTAGTTTTGCGCGATCGCGGGCTTCAGACCGTCTATGCACCCAATCCCGCAGCCGTGACTGGTACACTCGCTCGTCTCCATCATCCACACCCTTGAAGTCTTCGATGGTATCAGCAGTCTTCGACTTCCCTTTGCCTTTACCTTTCTTTCTTCGAGCTCGTGTGGCCGTCTCATCCGAGTCCAACTCTTCCTCATCTGCGGACTCCTCCTCCTCCTCTTCTTCTTCTATGCCACCATCAACATATTCCTCATCCGATATAGCAGGTGAACTAGTTACCACACCAGAACCACCAGTTACTTTTCGCCTCTTTGTCGGACGGGCGGCTTCTTCAAACTGGGTATCATCAAACCCCGGTTTCATCAGGTGCCGATGTGAAGCAACGGGCTGTTCACCCGCGGCTTCAAGCGCAAGCTCTTCGTCTCGCTCATCCTCCGCTTCGAACAAAGCGCTCTGCAACGTGGTACCTGCATCATCTCCTGCACCCCCGCCCATGCGCGAAAAGGGGGTAATCTTGCCTGTGCGTATGAGATAGTCCCTGCGTGATTCGTTAGGCAGTCTCCCGGCTGCCGACCCTTCTTCAGGGCCAGCACCGGCACCGGCACCGACAGCATCCTCTTCCCCACCGCGCTCCTCGATACGCTGCTGTATCTCCTTTAGGTCTATCTCAAGCTGTGTCAAGCGACTTTCTGCATTCTTAATGTCTGCGTCGTACTTTACCCGGGCAGAGGTACCTATCGGCTCCGACAGTCGCTGATGAAGCCTGAGAACTTGGGATTCAATCTTCCTGCACCAGATATACTTGTCAACATGGAGAACTAGGTTGAGTCAGATTCCGGGGTAAGATCGTACACTTTCTCATTTCTGGTACGTTCCAGGCGCCGAATATCTCGCTCATTAGCCTGTTCCCTTAATATCTTATCGGCCTATGTAGCAGGGTTAGTTAAGGTCCGTCTGGGATCAGGAGGGTAGAACATGTCCAACAGCCAACGCACCTGGCGTGTGATATCTCTCTCGAGGTCGTCTTGGTCTCTGATATCAGCATCAAGAGCTCGCAGGCGACTAGTTTCATCAGCCCCTTCAACACCCTGCTGTGAGGATTCAGCTGGCGCATCTATAGCGGTCTCCAGCGAGCCTTCTCGGCGTTTATCTTGTTCTAACTCTGCCATCGTCAAGCAGGGTTGGCAGTATATAGAATGTATTATCGGGTTTATGTAGATAGCTGCCTAGCTTCCTGTGAGAGGCGAACAGTTACGCTTGGTATGTCGACTCCACGACCAACCAGAGAGCTCTTTACTCCGAAGTCCTTTCTCAGTAGAGTCCAGCCATGCTGTCAATTATCTCTTTCTTTCCCTTCACTCTCTTTCACCCGTTCTTCTCTCTCCTCTCGATCGTCTTTCTCACTTCTCAGATCGCATTTTAATCACTTTGAAGCTCCCAAGGCCGCAGCTTAATATGCGAGATTAGTCAGCCCGAGCCACGGTTCGTACTTGTTTCTTTCTTGCAACTGAAGCCTCGAGGTCTTGGAAGGCCTAGGAAACGGCTGTCAGTCAATTGATTCGTTTGATGGTTACATAGGGTGTGGAGGACTAGATGAAGCCGCAGAATAAGGGCCATACCGACGTGGAGGAAGGCAAAGTGACAAAGCTCTTCTCCCTCGATCTGCCTCAGAGAGTCCCCCCTGTTTCTTCTCTTTTTCTTCTGCTTCTTCTCTTTATTTTTCCCGTCTTCGTCTTCTTTGCTTTTGCTCAGGCAGCTCGACGTCAGGTACGTCTACCCAAGCTGCGTCTTGCCCACTGTGAGAAGCATCCAAGGGGAAGCACCGTTAGTCTATAACCATCATCATCATCATCATCTCGTGAAATAAGCAATAAAAGGGCCGTCTATCCAAGTAACTCCAGAAGCAAGCGTAGTTGTAGGTTTCGCTGACGTTGGTGTTGGTGTTGCAAGCAGCGGCAAAGCGTCTTTGCTGACTTCGCAACTGCAACTTTTGACCTCAACTTCGCCCTCTTCGTCCTCGTCCACTTCATCGCATCCATCACCACCCAGAGCGAGAGCAGAACTCGACAGACGGACAGCCAGAGACAGCAGCCTAACAGGCCAAGGGCTTCTTCTTCTTGTTGCCCGTCCGCTGAGGTCGTTTCCAGGGGCCCTATCCCCTCCCCAGCCGCCACCGCCGCCGTCTTGCTCCTCCACTGTCGAACCATCCACTACCGCTGCAGCCATCGAACGGCCGCCCAGCAGTATCTGTTCTGTTCCAGGTCTATGACACTGCTGCATGGCCGGGAAAGTGATCTTGGATACTGCAATTATTTCTGCCTGTGAGCTTGTCGACGTCTCGCGGGCTCGATGATGCGCTGCTAGACGTTTCGCCCGCCCGCCTATCATTATAAATACTCCTCCAGTCGCAACGTCCACGCCTCTGCAGCGCCGGCTCCTCCGACTCGCACACATACCCACAGTCGAAATATACACAGTATCGAGTGTTCTGCTGCTCTGTTCACCACATCTGAACAGGTAGACAGGTCGGTGTGCTATTTTACAATCGCTTTGGTGTCAGGCCAACTGGTGGTAGACAGAGACGAACAAGCACGTACAGCACAGACAGGCTGCTAGAACGAACATCTCAGCCCCAAAGGGTACCACGACGAAATGGAACCACAGTGGCAGAACTACTCCGATATACCGGGGAACAAGCCTGGACAGTTTACTCCCAACACTGGCCACTCAGCCGTGGACCACGGACAGGCACACCAGCCTCCTCGCGGTTTCACGTACGAGACCTACCAACCGCCAGGCAGCGTATCCAAGGTTCCTACAAGTCTCAGACCAACCTCCATGGTCCCCTCGCCCTCTGGCAACGGCAACGGCCCGGGAACGCCCAACACTCGCGATCTGGATCATGACACCCACATGGAAGACGCGGACCCTTACAATAGAGCCAAGTACTCTGCTCGGCCGCCCACGCACCAACGAAACTCGTCGCAATTCCTCGCCAATGAAGAATCCTCCTCAGCTGCCCGCAGATATTCTCCCATGAGCGTTATCTCGCCCACTTTACCATATAACATGAGTCCCAACGCCGCCCAGAATACATATGGGTTCCCTCCCACTGCAAAGTCAAGCTCGCATCCATCGCCGACCAATACAAGCAACTATTCGGCCTCCCAGTCATATCAATCACCACCATGTATGTTTTCAGTTCAATTTCAGTCTCAATCACCTCAAAATCGACGATTTCATTCTCTGCCTCTCCTCGCTAGTGGGACGTTGGTATCACCACCACCGTACGAGAGAAGGCCTCACACCTCCCATATCACCAAAGATGGACTGAGATTTCAGTATCCATCGCTAAACTCTAGATCTACTGACGGCCCTTTCCCTTTCACTGTTCATAAGCCAGCTCCTCCTAAACACCCAGCAAACTCCTGCACTGAGCATCATCTTACTGACACATCTCCAGCCGCACCATCACGCCCGCATGCCCCACGCCTTCCTCCCATGCAGTCCAACGACATGAGTCCTGAGAGATACTATCCGCAGTCTGCCACACTTCAGCTCCATTCTGCCTTTGGCCAAGACTCAAAATCTCATCGCCCAGTTTCTTATCAGCCTCAGTCAGCGGGTGGGAGTCCCAGTGTTGGCATGGGTCGTGGACCCGTACCAAAATTCCAGAGCATCAAATGCATCAGCGAGCTACAGCCTAGGATCAACAAACAGCCGGCTTTCCGACGAGCAAACCCGGAGGGAGGGTTCATCAGCGTATGTTCCCCCGCAGTGCTCACCTTTATCGTGATAAATACGCTAATCTCTTTATCTTATCTCTCACACTAGCCTCTACAAGCACTCACAACCCATCTACCGGCAACTTATCGAATCTGCAATCCTACCTTCAAATACGAATCATCTAGGAATCCTCGACGTGTGCTGACCAAGCCGAGCAAAGGTGTCAAGAACGATGGCTACGATAACGATGACAGCGACTATATCCTCTACGTCAACGATATTCTCGGTAGTGAGGAAGCAAACCACAAGTACGATGACCTTGACACTTTGCACACGTCGAGTCGACAACACCATACTAACCGCTTGACCACTAGGAACCGCTATCTTATCCTCGACGTCCTTGGCCAAGGAACCTTTGGACAGGTAGTCAAGTGCCAAAATCTGAAGACGCAGGAAGTCATTGCTGTGAAGGTCATCAAGAACAGGACCGCATACTTCAACCAGAGTATGATGGAAGTTTCCGTCTTGGATCTGGTATGTTAACTTAACTCTCCCCTAGCTAGGCTCGCGGCTAATAGTTTGGGCAGATCAGTAGCAAGCTTGACAAGAACGACGACCACCATCTACTTCGACTAAAGGACACCTTTATTCATCGCCAACATCTCTGTTTAGTATTTGAACTGCTCAGCGTTAATCTTTACGAGTTGATTAAGCAGAATCAGTTCCGTGGCCTGAGTACCACCCTCGTGAGAGTGTTCGCCCAGCAGTTGCTTAACGGACTCGCACTCCTGAACAAAGCTAGATTGATACATTGCGATCTAAAGCCAGAAAATATCTTGCTAAAAAAGTACGTTGGATCTTTCCCATACCAACTCAGTTACCTAGCTAACATGTCTAATAACAGCCTGGAGAGCCCTATAATCAAAATTATCGACTTCGGATCCGCGTGTGACGAACGGCAAACTGTCTATACCTATATCCAGTCTAGGTTCTACCGCTCACCTGAGGTTCTTCTAGGATTGCCGTAAGTAGAGGATATTTGCTGAATGCACACTCCTATAATCAATTTCTAACATCCCTGCAGGTACTCCTCAGCAATCGATATGTGGTCTCTCGGATGCATTGTTGTTGAACTCTTCCTCGGCCTTCCTCTCTTCCCTGGCTCATCGGAGTACAACCAAATATCTAGAATAACGGAAATGCTCGGACTGCCTCCAGTATGGATGCTTGAGAACGGGAAACAGGCTGGTGAATTCTTTGAGAAGACGCAAGATGAATTCGGTCGACAGAGTTTCAGGCTGAAGAGCATGGAGCAGTATTCTCGAGAGCACAATACCAAGGAGCAGCCAAGCAAGAAGTACTTCCAAGCTACAACGCTACCGGAAATTATCAGGTCATACGCAATGCCACGGAAGAACATGAAGCAGGCTGAAATTGACAGGGGTATGTATATCGCTTAACTAGGTTGTGATAAAATCGTTGCTAACTCGCTGGGAACAGAGATGAACAACCGCGTTGCATTCATCGACTTTGTTCGTGGCCTCCTATCCATTAACCCTCTTGAAAGATGGTCGCCGCAACAAGCCAAACTCCACCCCTTCATCACGCAGCAAAAGTTCACCCAGCCGTTCGTCCCGCCGGTCCATCTCAAATCCTCCGTCATCAACAAATCTGTTGCTCCTGGAGTCCAGCAACAACAACAAGCAGAGGCAGCATCCAAGCAACGTGCCCAAGCAGCTCAAGCACAAGCGGCCCAGGCTCAAGCAAACTCTGCAGCTGCGGCCGCCGCCCAGTCTGCTTATGCTCTTCAAATGAACCAATTCAACGCACCACACAATCAACCTCCACCCGTCTATAACAACATGTATAACACTCAACAGCAACAACACCAAGCTCCGCCCCCGCAGCAACAGCCTCCACAACAACAGGGTCCACCACCGCCATATCCTACACAACAGGGCTACCAAATGCCCATTATGCAATCAGGCCACATGTCCCTCCCACCGCAGCAGACACAATATGGCTCATCCCAGAACTTATACGCGCAAGCCACTACGCGTGCTGGCCGACAACGGGCTACGACAATGGACCAACAGCAGAGTGGCATCCCACAGTCTATACAGCGAGTAGCCAGCCACTTAGACCCCAACTCGCCCATCCGTCTTCAGCCTAGCCCGGCATACTACCCGCCTCCAGCAGACGGGTACGCCGATTCTTCTGGTCAAAGCGGTCAAAGGCGAACTAGCCGAGCAAGAAATAACGGCTCACACGGCAGAAACAGAGATTTCATTCGCAGCCTTGAGGACGGAGCTCTGGGAGATGGCTTCATGAGCCAGAATCAAAACCAATGGCACTGATCAAATATTTCAGTTGACTTTCCACTACCATTTCACATTTATTTTATTCCAACTGTGCCGATTGAGTATACATCTTATCTCAATTGCGGTACAGATTCAAACGAACAGGCGCCCCAAAAAAGCTAACAATGCAAACGGGCACTGTAAAGGGTTAAATTCCCTGGACTTGAATTCCGGGCTTGGCTCACTTTTGTACATTTACCCAACATTCCGCCCCCGCCTCTCCACTTCACGGTTCACGAAACGAAT